CTTTCGATTTACCTCCCTATGGTAATGCCAGAAGGGCAAATCTCGGGGGGACGCGTACTGTCACCACCACTTCACGCATCACGATGCTGTACCTTGCATGGACTGCGCATTCTGTCGAACTCCAAATCAGCAAGATTGATTGGCCTAGGTTTGTCAGTGATGTCTCGCGCGCGACATTCGCTCCAAGACCTGACCGATTCAACGTTACCAAGTCAACTAGCTAGAAACGATCTGACAGTTTGAAGCTGTAGCTGCGCCTCTGATGCCCACACCCGAATAGTGAACATCGTGAGACCACAGAAAAAGGACTTTTACGCGCGTTCTCTTTATGCGACTTCGCGGTTCATGCATTATGCTATCCGAACGACACGCATTTTTTAAATGAAAAAAAAAAAAAATAGAAACAAACCCGAAAGACACTACTGAAGACGAAACGAAACAGTAGCACAACGCAAAGAGTGGAATGTACACTGAGGGATGTCTGAAAAATACTTACTCAGAGACAAGTCTGAATCGTCTAAGTCACAATTTTCATTATTACACCCGTGCAAACAATACGATCCCTTCTTGTAACTGTCTCGGGTCAATCGCCCGCAGTATACTGCTGAATACTACGTATAAAACCTACTTATTCACGTGGTTCTGTATTCATCCAGTAAGGATAAGCTGTACGCGAAAATCACGATGGGGCGTAGTAAAAAGTGAATACCATTTGGATCTCCACCCAGTATTCACAACGAGGGGCACGTGCGTCGATGCCGACGTATCGCAGCGAACAACTTGAACGACAAGCTGCCTATCACGTCTAAGTGTAAAGAACGCCAAAAGAGAAGGTCCAGACAATTAGCGAGTTTGGCTATAGTCAGGCGCATGTCTGGCCGTGTGGCATGTTGCGTCTGCGGGTTTTGCATTTGGGTGGAGTTCGAAAAATAACAACCCTTCAACCTCTTTCGGCGCATTTTCGGGTGATGAAAGGCACTTTTTCTACAGCTGTCGACCGCGAATGGCCAGGATCGGGGCCCTCGAAGGTGAGCGTACAGCGTATTTTTGGTACATACATGAGTAAAACATGTGCTATACAAAAGCAGCGGAAGCGGGGGAGAGTTTTGTTCCTTTCGCAGCTTCAGACGGGACCTTGTGCCCCTGTTGTGTGGACTGGTGGGGACATTTTTCTGATTCGTTAGTTCCTGGTAATTTACTTATTCCACCATGTGTTTGCCGGTATTTTGAGGGACGTAGGCGGCTGCTTAGATCACAATTGTGAATAAAGTTTTCGAGCGTTTTGCCTTGGTTTGCATTCTGCTGGTTCCCTTCGATCATTGTCGGGACCTCCTTTGGATAGCTGTAGGCTTCTATGAAGCTCTGCGAGCTTCGTTGGCTCTCGACAAGGGTGAAGAGGTCTCACATGGTGGAATAAGTAAATTACCAGGAACTAACGAATCAGAAAATTTCCCCACCAGTCCACACAACAGGGGCACAAGGTCCCGTCTGAAGCTGCGAAAGGAACAAAACTCTCCCCGCTTCCGCTGCTTTTGTATAGCACATGTTTTACTCATGTATGTACCAAAAATACGCTGTACGCTCACCCTCGAGGGCCCCGACCCTGGCCATTGGCGATCGACAGCTTAAAAAAGGCTTTTTTCATCACCCAAAAAATGCGCCGAAAGAGGTTTAAGGGTGTTTTTTCGAAACTCCATCCAAATGCAAAACCCGCAGACGCACCATGCCACACGGCCAGACATGCGCCTGACTATAGCCAAACTCGCTAATTGTCTGGGCCTTCTCTTTTGGTCGTTCTTTACACTTAGACGTGATAGGCAGCTTGTCGTTCAAGTTGTTCGCTGCGATCTACGCGCATCGACACAACGCGCCCTCCTCGTTGTAAATTACTGGGTGGAGATCCAAATGGTATTCACTTTTTACTACGCCCCACCGTGATTTTCGCGTACAGCTTATCCTTGCTGGATGAATACAGAACCACGTGAATAAGTAGGTTTTATACGTAACTAGCAGTATACTGCGGGCCATTGACCCGAGACAGTTACAAGAAGGGATCGTATTGTTTGCACGGGTGTAATAGTGAATATTGTGATTAGACGATTCAGACTTGTCTCTGAGTAAGTATTTTTCAGACATCCCTCAGTGTACATTCCACTCTTTGCGTTGTGCTACTGTTTCGTTTCGTCTTCAGTAGTGTCTTTCGGGTTTGTTTCTATTTTTTATTTTTTTCAATTAA